CTCTCTCCCCCGGAAAAACTGCTTCTTCCCGGGGTTCAACCGAGGCCTCAGGCTCACCAAATCTTGATCGACTTCGGCCACCAAAGGCCTCACCACCGTGCTCGGAGCACTAGAAGGAATGGCTCTTCCCGCCATGGAAACATCGCAACATGAAGATAACAACAAGAGGAGGGAATAGAAGACCACGATGTAAACACAATTTATAGTCATGATTAAAAAAATTCACGCAAGTGTATATCTGTATATATTGTATGGAGAGTTTTGATGAATATATAAGATTGAAAAAAAGAAAAAAGAAAAGAAGAGTTTTTTGGTTTTTGGTGGGGAAGTTTGTGGGTGGGGGGGTAGAGGTATATATACCACAAGGAAGTGTGTGTGAGAGTGTTAAATGGGGGGGTCTTAAATGGGCTCGTGATGAAGAAGGGCAGACATGGGAACAAACAGCTAAGATAGCTCATTTTCGTGCCACCAATATTAGGGCATTAGTGTGGAGGGTGCGGTGGGTGCTGTTATAGTGGGACTGTATTTTTACGCTCCAGGAAAAAGGTGAGAATGCCCGTGAGTTTTGTGTTAATTGCAGACTCCTTATTCACGCTCTTGCCCATCAAATCCTTTTCATTAATTACCCTTCTGGCCTATGCATTAAGGTCCTCAAAATTGCCAACTTAAATGCTTTGAATATGTATGCAATTTGTTTCATCCGTGTTGAAGGATCTTGATTGCTTGGTGAAAATTATGAGAATTATAAGTGAAAGGAGTGTCGAAGAAAATTAAAGAATGAAAAAACTTAATTAGGACAATATATATTTTTTTATTTCATGCTTAATAGTAGAGCTGTAAGTTTAGATCGAGCTAAACGGGCCGGCTCAAAACTCACCACTATTGGCCTGAACGGGTCCAATTTGACCCAAAATTTCTATTCAGGCCGGGCCAAGCTGGCGCGGCCCCAACTTTCACTTCTACTTCTTACGTAAGACAACAAAATGCCAATACCAAGAATTTTTCATCTAATTAACAATGCCTTTCCATTAGTTAAGTCATTTGGTAATATGACCCTCATTCAAGTTTAAAGATGGGTATAAGAAATGGATAATAGATGTACATATTAGACTTAGATCTCATGTTCACTAAAATAACTAACCACATTATGTTACCTAGCTTAAAAATTTTATAATAGTTTTCTTAACTAATTTTCTCATGCCTTAATATCTGAGTTCAATTAGTGTCAACATAGTATAATTTGATTGGCCTTAAACACTGTTTGGAATACTAAAAATGGATAACATATGTGAATCTATTGACAATTTATTGACCAATGTATAACTTGAGGAATTAAAGGTGTCAATTTAGGTGGGCTAAATAGGTTGGCGCTAAGCCCAATTTTTTGGTCCGGACCAAAGGTTTAAATTTTTTGGCCTGATTATTTTCTTGAAATAAATAGGAAAAAGAGAGAAATAGGCTAAGACTGAAGATAAATTAAAATTAATAAGTTAATAGTTTACATAAGTTAATAAATAGGTCAAATTAATGTTTTCATCCATAATTTGTCTGGTTATGAACTATAACTTGACAAGTTATTGTTCATAATTATCCATAACTTGTCTAGCTATGAACCATAACTTGATAAGTTTATCCATAACTTATCTGGTTATGAACCATAATTTGACAAATTATGGCCTATTAATTTCTATAACTAAAAATTGGCCTATATACTTTCTTAAACTTTTCATATTGACCTATTTTTTACTATTTTCCTAAATAAATGTTTTTCTTATAAAGAGCCGTCCGGACCGACCCATGCGGTTTGGGTTAGTTGGCTCATATTGAACGGCTCAAATTTACATTTCTATGAGGAATCCATAACAATACATGTTGGAAGTTTTTCTCGACTTTATTTGTCTAAGAAAGACAGTTTATTATACTTTATTCTCACATGGTGTCACTTTCAATTCACTGTACTACTTATAGTATGGGACCTTAATTAACAGGAGCATATTGAGGTCAATTGGGAATTTTCCATACAAGTAGTTTCTAATTTTTTTTTTTTGCGATAAAAGCAGCTATTAGTTATTATCAAATGAAAGAGGGCTTGACGGTTGGCGTTTTCTGGGTTTTAATGCTCATGATGTTTCTTTAGTGATTGGTAGGACTATATTACTTGTGAATATTTAGACTTTACGAAGGAACTCCATTAAATAATATCTACCCCTATTGAAAAAATATCTTGTTAGATAAAATAAAAGGATTCTGAAAAGAACAACAACTTTCTTGTTGAAGTTACGCAGTTAAGGTTTTCCGAAATATAATGACATATATATATCAAGCATGCACGCACATTATATAATAAATATACGTATTTATTATTATGTACACGCATAACTCACAAGGCATACGGTAGAGTAGTAATATTTACTGTTATATTTATTACCACCTAAAGATTAATTGGCTCTCAACACATCAATATAGAAAATGAATTGCCTCCTCATCAACGAACAAAATCATTATAATGCATAAAATTTAAAGGCATTGGAAAAAATACAATAACCACGCCACATGACAAAGAAGAAAACTACACCTAACATTATTGACAAAAACTATTAGAATCGCACATTGGCCGGAGATATTGGCATGATCCACTTAATAATGTGAGGGTAATCCTCCCCTAATCGCACATTGGCCGGAGATATTGGCATGATCCACTTAATAATGTGAGGTTAACCCCCCCCAAACAAGCCGATTTTATTAGGTTGAGTTAGGCCTAATATCCTTTGATTTATGTAAAATGGTATCAGAGCATGCCCAATTTTACAATATTGGGTCCCCCAATAGGAGGCGTATTAAAATCCCATATTGGCTGGAGATATTGGCATGATCCACTTAATAAGGTGAGGATAATCCTCCCCTAACAAGCCGGTTTTGTTAGGTTGAGTTAGGCTTAATATCCTTTGATTTATGTAAAAAAAAACACATATTATGGTCCTTAGCAAAATTTGCAAAAAAGAAATGAATCCCATTTCTTAAAGTCTCCAAGTCTTAATATAATAGTAGGACGTATCAATTGTGACATTCTTTAGAGCGAAACTCTAGTTGGGTGGGTACGGTCTGGAGTAAATTGCCAAATTTGCTGCTGGATTTATATGGCAACAACTTTTAGAGACTAACCCAACTGAAATTAATTAGAAAATTTTGGATCCCCTTAACTTTGTTTGAAATTATAATTTTGGCGTTCTCTTACAATTCTGTCATTTTTAAGTTGATATATAATGGAAAAAAAAGCGAGAGTACAAATTCTACACGACATAAAATCTTTATTTCTTCAGCTGAGGGCATTTTTTAGATTAATTTTCTTAGACTAGTTATATATATATACATCTGTAACTATTTCTACTTGATATCAAATTATATATGAATCGGAGAACTCATTCTTGGTCATGAAAGGGGACCTGGAACATTGATTTCCTATGGGCCAATCATAAAGAATTAGCTGATGAATTTCATCTAATCAGTTTAGTGATTAATCCCTCACGTGTTGTCAACTATTAGTTGTATCACCTAAAGTCTAAGATAATAATCATATTCTCAAATGCAAATTAATTGCGTGGCATGCATGGACATATGGATTCTACTTTCTTGAAGCACATATTTATGCAACGACACACTAGCTAGTCTCTAAGGCTTCTTAGGAAATATACTGAAAAAATTAGTAGAAAAACATGACTCCGTGATGACACTGCAATTATGCTAGTTGAAAGTAAATCAACGTTCAACAATTATATTTTATTTATTTTTTTAATTTTTTGGTGCTTGATATTTTAGGCCTCTGGGCTTTTTATACGAGGCTTCCAAATTTCAATCCTAATTAGGACGAAATTCAGGTCACTTAACTCAAACTCAGAACTTTATGAGGTATTTAATTTTTTTTTAATTAAGAAAGGAGTTTATTGCAGTTCAAATAAGCTTTCGGACTCAATACATCGACCCCGCCCCGGGGAAGGAAACCTTAGCCCTACATTAGTATTTTAGAGGTGGCAAAGAAGTGATCGGACAACCATATTTTTTAATGAATCTTGTTAGATATCGAGAAAAAGAGTGCACCAAAGGCAACGCAAATTAAGCGTGCAGACAATGCCATGCATTAATGCTAAAGTTGACAGATGCGCACCTAACATTACTCTTTCATTGTTGAAGATTTAGGAGGCACAGCTTAATTGGTATTTCTTGTCATCTTCATTATATAATAAATGATGATGATAGCTCCTGGCTTGTGCTAAATTTTCTACCATTCTTTTATAAATGTAGGAGGTCGATCTACTAGCTATTTTCTTATTTGAATATGTTGTCTGCACTCTGCTTAATTTATTGATAAACTAGCTTCCTATTTTCACAATGAATGGTGCATGTTTCTACACTGAAAGTGAAAGATGCCATACAAATAAATAAATAAAACTACTTTTTTTTTTTTTTTGGTTGATAACCAAGACTACAAAATTACTTCTGGAATTTGCACGGTGAGGGTTTGTAATTAGTTTATTTTTCTTTTAATCATGGTGATTTTTTTTTAAATGCGTATATTATTTTAAACAATTGTCCTTTTATGTGCAAGAAACTTTTTTTTTTTTTTCTATTTGAGAAAAGTTGTACAAGAAAAAAAAAACCTAATGTAAGAGCATGTGTAATGAAGTGTCATATTAATGTATTAAGGCCAAAATTTGATATTAATGTAGGAAAGCCTCTCTTTATTGCAATGCTTGTTTTTGTTAAATATGATATATGTAATACTTAGTAACAAAGTTAACACCAAATATGACATGAAAATTTTTTAGAATTTGAAAGGAGAGAAACAACAAGAAGAAATGAACAGAGTATTTTTTTTAAAAAAAAAAAATCAGTGGCAGATCTGAAATTATATGCATAATTGGAGGCAAAATTGATAGCTGGCTTAGTAGCCAAGGATAAGGAATTGAGATGGCGTGAGCAACTATAATGAATACTAGGAACCAGTTCGTCAGTTAGGCGAACACCGTAAATAATAATGAAGCTCGCAGTTCAGCCTTCAACATTTGCTGCTTTTTCTAAGAGTAAGTTCTGATTTTCATCCTTCACTGTTATATTTATCACCAACAAACTTCAAAAGTTTCTTAGCGGTTATGAGCACCTGCATATCTTAAAAATCCCTTTTTTGTAGTTATTGTCCAAATACAGAAGTTGTTGTCTGTGTGTGTGTGTATAATATAAATATAATATATACATATATATATATATATATATATATGGTTATTTGGCAGACGGGTAATGACTAATGAGCTATTCCGGGGTAGTTGATCATATGGGCATGCGTTACAGTAATTAGGATATGAACGAGACAGCCATTAATAGAAAATGCCCATTACAGCTTTGAGCTATATTGGGGCTGGCTGGCTTTATTTATGTGTATTTGAGGGGAATTTAGAAAGTGGGTTCTTGTGATTTGAGTGATTCAACCACAACCATTCAATATAATCTTTATGGAGGAAGGTCGCTGTTGTAATGGGGTTCTCCTAATTAAAGGCAAAGGATTGGTTTTCTTGTTTATGATTTTTCTAAACTACTTAAAGGTCCAATATATGGGCACACCATAGTTAATGTTAAAGTTTAGTGCATTTACTAATCTTTAGTGGTGTGGTGCTTCTTTGAAGTAATTTCATGTCTGACGGTTAGGTTTTATTCATATAAAGAGAGTGAGTTGCTCAGCTTAGATGAGTGCCATATATATATCTATGTATGTATGTTTCCATGGCTATTGCGGCTTTAAAGTCTCTATTTATTGAGACTTGAGAGGCAATGCCATTAAGAAGGTGAAGAATAAAAGCTTGAGAAATGGAGACATGGTGAAGTTTTAGGTGGCAAGTGGCATAAATGTACTCTGTAGTATGTATGGAATGAAACATTTTGAGTTTGGGTTTTTTAAGGCCGTTTTTGGGCCCAATTAGATTTTTTCTGGTGGAGGAGACAACTTCCGTGATTGGATTCAAGGGCTGTAGTCTAATTGAAGCCTATCACATGTATCTTGTGGAGTTCCAATGAGAAAATTCTTTACATTGTTGTCCAGTTATATTGTGTAGAATAGTATATATTAAGGTTTTTTTTTATTAAGACTATTTTGGACTATTGCATATGTTTTTCGTACTTGATTATGGGATCTATTGGATACGCGTGTCCAATCTATTCCTTGCAGACAAAGAATTAGCATAAATAAGTCACTTGTAAGTTGTAACGTATGACCTCTCACTGTTTCTATAGACTATAGAACCAACTATTGTGTGCAAATCAATTACAAGATTGAGCCAAGTTTTGTATGCTTTTCAATATTGGTTGAGAAATGTTGTTGAGAAACGTTTCAATTTCAGAAAAATAAGTTAGGTTGCGAAAAATAAGTTCAGTTCCTTTGATTTGAGCAATCTGGAATTTAATGATAGAGCTACAGCTAGTAGGGTCATGAATTAGCTTGTGTGTTCAAATTTACTTGAATAAGGGTGTTGGTCTCCATTTCATTTAATGGTTTGTGTGTATCTTCAATCTTGATTGTTCTCCTTTCATCACTTAAAATGTTTCTGTTCTTCCAGAATTAAAATTTCTAACTTTGCACGTTGGTTTTCCTATCAAATACATATATTCTACCCATCATAACCAACCAGATCATACCAGTTTCATTTATGGTTTCACTTCTTTCCTTACTGAGTTTTTATTTTATTTTATTTTATTTTTGGAAGGCTTATAAGTAGTTTGCAATGTAACAAGTGACACACCGACCCTATAGCATATTGCTAATTAGGCTGCAGAGTATGCTTGCTGTTTATGACTAAATCCCATCTTAAAGTAATCGTGAACGCAACGTTGACACTGATCATACAAAGAGAGAGCTTTGTTAAATTACTTGAGACATTTTTAGTTCACATTTTATGACTTTTGTTTAAGTAGATGTGCTAGGTAATTGTGTTGATGCGTTCTATCTAGCCGATATTGTCATCTCCAATGAGTTGCATTTTGAATTTGTTCTTCAGTTGATAAGAAGTCACAAGAGCAAGGAAAGAGAGTATCATCCATCATAACTCCTGCTCTCCCCGAAACAGCGGCTTCTATCGCAATTGCTGCCACTGTTGTGGGTGCAGCAGCTACTCTTCTTGTGCAGAGGAACAAAGCTTCCAAGACAACTGAGGTTTGTACTTAAATTTACTGATGCAGATTTGATTTTTGTCAACTTATCCTTAGGAAATGATACTATGAATGTTAATAAACTATATGCATTATGAAACGTGTAGAGCACCCCTGTTTTATTCTTGAATCCTGTTAACTAACTTTGAAAATACAGTTAAGAGCACATTTTCCTTCCTTTTGTTTGTCATTTAGAGAAAAATTCTTGTGTTATAACCTTGGAAGGTTAATTTCGGTTATTAATTATTATTACTATTATTATTATTATTATTATTATTATTTGTGAAATCTTTAGAATTTTCTTTATCTACTATTTACAGCACACTTGAGTATATCAATATTGTCATTTCTATTGACAAAGATAAGGTTCAAATATTTGTTACTTCATCTATGTATGGCTCATTTTCTCTATCACTTTATGCCTGATTTATCAATGTAAGTTCAATCAAACTCATATGTAAAGTGCAGGTGCCTATGAAAACATGTGAAGACTGTGGCGGTTCTGGCATTTGTTCCGAATGCAAAGGCGAAGGATTTGTGCTTAAGAAACTCTCAGATGAAAGTGCTGAGAGGGCAAGAATTACAGCCAAAAATATGGCAACTCGATATACGGCGGCGTATGTTTCCTTTGGAATCTCTACTCCATCCTCATTCCTTACTTCATTTTTTCCATTTCCTAATTGATTGATAATACCTGCACTTTAATTATGTTTCTTATCTCATCAGGCTTCCAAAGAAATGGAGCTACTGTACAAAATGCTCTTCTGCTCGATCTTGCAGTACTTGCGGTGGTATTGGAAAGATATGCTTCTAGTTTTACCATAACCATCTCCATGGTTCTAATGGAGTGGCCAAATCTTTCATGCACTTCAATTCCTGACCGTTTCGATATATGTCAAATAATGCAGAATGTACATAATTCTTTGTTCTTGTAGTAGTAATTTCTCTTCGGCAGTATCACAGAAACAACTTTAAATCCCTTCTGTTAATTATCAAAAAAAAAAAAAAAACCTTTAAATCCCTTCTGTTGGCCAGGGCCAACAATTATCAGTTTTTATTGTTTGGGAAATCGGGTATTTCCCAATCAAAAACAACTTCACCACCATGAACAGTACTTGTGAATAATACCGTAAACGTGAATAGTATCGTATATGTGAATAGTATCATATATATGAACAATACTATACGCAACGGACAAACCCGACAGAATAACTATTGAATATTGAAAACAAATAAAGAACACTAGAATTGATAATGGAATTTGGCTAAATATTGCCTACGTCTCCGTATATTATGGACCACTCTATTTATTAAAGAGAAGAAAGATTATAAATTTGACAGAAATTACAAAAGCCCACAAATTGAAAATCTAAATAATTTCCTATAAATTTATAAAGGGGAGAAACTTTTAGTTTTTGGGATGCAAAACAAATGAGGGGAGGCTTGTATTTATAGTCTATGCCTCTCTCTTCTACGCGTAAACCAGCTGTAAACAGTTGGGTTCACTTCATAAAGTCAACACTGTTTTCAATGCGCTCTCTCTTCTTTTTCTCCCTCTCGGACTTTCTCTTTTGGTTTCCAACATAAGTGTGCAGCCCATATTTTTAACAATGAGTCGCTCATATTGACTAACATTTATTTCTTTTTTTTTTCTTGAAAAGTAGATGTGACAAATTAAGGATGTTGATAGTAATATTTGTTGGTTTTCAAAACAATTTCGAATGCGGAAGCGTGTAACTAGGAGATTGTGTATAACAAAATTTTTATAAAATTTTGAGATACTCTATATATTATATTAATTTATGTATGAATAAATTAATCAAATTAGTTTATTTACCTAGCGAACGATTAGGTCGATAACTTAAGCTCTTTGACCACGAACGCTTCTCACTCTAAGTTAGTTTAGAACACATGAATCTTCCTCGTCAATCCTTGAATCTACGAAGACATGTGTGTGGGCACCCCTGAAACAAAACGAGATTAACATCAAAACACTCAAGTTTTTCACGAGCACCAACACATGCACGAAGTGAAATTTGTGAAAAAAATTTTCCTTTCCCCACTCTATAATATTCGGCCACCTATGCTAGGGAGAGCAAAAAAAATTGTGTTCTCTAATTTTCTGCGATCTCTTATTTATAGAGTAGTAGTCAGACTCTCAAAAGAAGTCTAATCTTTATCTCTAAGATAAAACTTGATAATTATCTCTCACTTCTAATTTGATTTTTGAAACAAAATCCCTCTCGATCCTTTATCCTTTTGGACGGCCACCGGAGGGAGATTCCTCCCTGTGGTAGGCGCATACTGCAGGTAAAGAATAGAACAAAATTCTGAATTTATCCTCTAGTCTAATTTTGACTCAAATTTAAATTCCAATTTAAGTCAAACTTAAATCAATTTGAAGTTCAAATTGGACAACTTATCAAATAAGTCAATTGGATAAGTTGGAGAGCAAGCAACTGAATCCTAGAAGGATTCACACTGTATAGACGTGTACACCATGTGGACACCTCTACATATGTGTTCCAAAATTCAAATTTAAATTTAAATAATAACATTATTTAATTTATAATTAATTATCAATTAATTATTCTTGAGTGTTTTATATTAGAATTTCATAATTCTAAAATTTCCATTTTGCCCATATTGCCTTGTAGGATTACAAGGATGACGCGGGGACTCATGAACCTATAATTCTGAGCTCTAATAAAATTAATAATTAATTAATTAATTTCATTATTTCTAAAAGTTACTCCACTATAAACTTGGATTGCACTTTCGTAATTATGGACATAAATTACTTCTAAACTGTGAAGTGTTCATTTGATATAGTCATTACATATAAATCAATCCTCCATAAATAACTCATAATTAGAGCTAGGTAAAATTCGTTAAACTCTCTAATTACATCTTTATTCTTAAGTACCATTGATTCTCTAATGGACAATGATTCATAAAACAAATTCATGAATCGGAGCTCCTACTAGTCCAAGTACCGAATCAACCCTTAAGAGAATTATTTATCTACTTCTTTCTCAAGAAGGAATAAATTCCATCTCGTGTAATAACATTCCCGGCTACTCACTTCATCATGTCTCCAAAATACAAGGAATAGGATTCAACATCTCAGAATCCGTACCGAGTAAATCAAAAGACATAAATTCATAAATAAGAGTATGCTAATAACTCAGGATTAAGATTTTTCTATATATGACTATCGGTAAACTCAATTAGAATTTCTATACTTAACGATAATTATCAGAAATTCATATTGTGTATGTGTCCCGGTTTCACATAATCTCATTATGCGTAATATACTCATTCAATATCTCTCCATATCAATAGTGCAGATAGCACCAATGCACCATTCCATTCTGAATGAGAATGACATGTATTAGTAATGTTTTAATTAAATATTCCGAACTTTAATTAAATTCATTACGTTTTGATTATTATCCTTAAATATTATCATCACGCATATAACACTTATATATAATATTTAAGGTCACATAAATAATTATAACATTTTCAGTAATATTTATAAAATATTTAATAATATATGCATATAAAATAATAAATAAAATATTTATTAAATAAATAATAAATATCTTATTATATCTTATACTTTTAAGACGTCATTTCAATAATATTTACTAAAGTTCTTAAAAGAATGGCCCTACTCCCCGACGAGGAGTGCGTTATCCCATCTCACTGAATGTGTTAGCAGTTAGGCGTGGTCTTAGACACACAAAATCAAATATTGAGTTGGCAGGATAAAATCTTCACCTTAAAAAAGGCCGTACCCGACACTCAAATGTTTTACCACAAACACAACCACGGTAATCCTTTTCCGCTAGGTGAGGTCACAATGGTTTAAACAATTGTCAGCTTGTGCTAGTGGTTTTATGCACGTGTTTACACACAGGCAGAGATATATGTGTATTAAAGACCTATACAATAATCCCTTTATTCTAAAAACATTATTTTTACACTATATATGTATAGCTGGAAATGAAACTATACCAGAGGGAACTAGCTACTTTGAATCTTCCTGCATATTCTTGTAAAGCAAGTTGTGTTGCCATATGCTTCGCATGTCCTTGAGATATTGGCCAAAGTTATGTGACGCAATCATCAATATCAAGATGTCAATAATTCACAGAAAATATATTTTTTAAATGTCACCTGATTACATATTTATGACTATAATACAGTTCAGTCTCCATCTGCTTATTCTAACGTGGTAAGTAACCATTTGTTTACTGAATAAGCATGCTGACTTTCCTCCAAGCGCGGCTTTAAGAAAATAGCTAGTTATATATATATGTGTGTGTGTGTGTGTGTGTGTGTGTGTGTATGATATCAGGCGTCATGGACTCTGTGGAGGGATATATTTAGCTTTTTTTTTTTCTTTTTAATAGTCTTTGCTTGTTGGTTGATGTTTCCTATTATAGAAATCCCAACACAAAGTCAACTACTCGATAACCCTGCTGAGAAATTGTATAACATGATTTTTTTAGCGTTCAATAGTGTTCAATCTGTATATAGCTCATTTCTATGGAATTTTATATATAATTAATCCAACCTCTTGATCCTACTTAGGCTCGGCAATTATCATAATCTGAAGCTATAGCCCGTTGGCTAGAATATATTACGTCATTGGAAACAGTACATATTTTTCGAGATTCACTAAGCGAAAAATATATATGAAACAAAAATGTTTGTTGGAAGAAACCAAGCTTGAGTGTATGTGAGTACATTCTGATCCATTAATCACACAGAACCCAGAATCCTGCATGTGCATGTATTATAGGGATTTGAAAATATATGCTTGCGTAATATATGTATATATATATGATTATTTATGAATTTTTAATAAGGAAAATAACTAAAAACTTCCTGCTTCTGCGCACAGGAAGTATAATATTCATAAATAGTTTATGAGACGTTTGGTTCGTGGATTAGAATTATGAGATTAAAATTATTTTCAATTTACGTGTATTTTTTGTGAGAGAAAATACTGTAGTGAATCACGAACCATGATTCGAATCGGGGTACGAAACCCCCAACCAAACAACTCCTTAAAGTATTTTCTGCACAGTGATAAGTTCAAATTTTCTCATGGGATATTTATATTTTTATCACATGTATTTTAAATTTATTCAAAAACTATAATTTTTTTTATTTCATCAAATGTATATCTTTGAGTTAGATTTAGTATACAAATCTATTCTTATCTCGGTCAACAATTAATTTTGACCTTTAAAATGATCAAATTATTCTTAAGAAAAGAAGATAAAAAAAACTAAAACTTTTTAATATTACAAAAAAACACAAAAAAAAAATCCACTTTAAGGGTATTTTCCATATTTTTAAGATCAAAACTATTTTAATTTTTTTTTTCATTTGTCATTTTATTTAAAGGTAATTTAAGGTTAAAAATCAATATTTGACCGTGAAAAGTATAGATGTGTGTATTAAATCTAATTTAAATTAGGTATATATTTAATGAGATTAAAAATCAAAGTTATAATTTTTGAATAAAATCAAAGCGCGGGCTATAAAATGGTAAATATTCATTTTCACATTTTTTTCAAATATATAAATGAAGTTATTACAAGAAGGGTATTGCATGGTAAAGTACTAGAAAGTTATGAAGACAAAATCTATATATACAAAACATGAAGGTGACAACGAAGAGATGGAGCCAAAAAAATAATTTATGAGGACCGAGCTTGAAATAAATTAAAATTTTGAATTAAAATTTAGTAGGGTAATAAATAATAAAACTCTATAAACATATGTAGTTATTTATTGTAATTTTTGTTTATTTGAGTTTTTAATTTGAAGAGTAGACATAAGAAAAATATGAAATAAGAAGATATAGTTAGAAGTAAAAAAAATTAAAAAGAAATTTTAGTAAATAGCATTTTTACAAAATTAAATTAAGTTGATGACTCTACAAAATAAAGTTATTTTACTACTAATTTTGTGTAAAAACTAACTTAATTCTCGA